AGTCTTACACGGTCCACAACAGCTAGGCTGGTTACTTTTCCTTTTCTTTTTTAATTCCAAAGGGATAATCTTGATAGATTTTCTCCAAGGACACAGGATGATCAGAGGGGCTTAATGTGAAGAAGTTTTAAGAAGTCAAAATCTGCACTGGTGAGGGAAAGACCAAGCAAGTTGCACTAAAGAATTTGATCTTGCTCCTTCTGGCATCTTTTTGTTTTCAAAACTAAAAATGAAAAAGAAAAACATTTAAAAGGAACACTAGTTGAATCCCTTAAGGATACCAAAACTGCCATTTTGACATGGTGTAAATATAAAAGTACAACATTCTCCATGGAAGGTATTGTTACTGTTGTTGTGTGTCATAGAGTCGGTTCTGATCCATAGCGACCCTGTATGGGGTTTCCAAGGGGCAGCTGGTGAGCTTGAATCACCGACCTTGCGATTCAAACCAACTTTACAGTGCAGCGCACTAGCCCACAGCGCACTAGCCTTCAGAAGTGTGTAGCCATAGATGGAGGAGCTATTGAGGAACAAGAGCTTCACATTTTGATATTTTTGTTTAATAAAGGTTTCTATGGTTTTGTAGCAATACTTTTTGACTCATTCTCGCATAAGTATGTTGTTGTTGTGTTGAGTCAGTTCCAACTCAAAGCAGCCCTGTATAGGGTTTCAAACGAGCCACTAGTGGGTTTGAACTGTCAACCTTGTGGTTAGCAGTCCAGCACTGATCCTACAGCGCCACACCAGGGCTCCCATATAAATATAGACAGATACATCTAAAAGAAAATAATAGATATAAATAGATGATAGAGGTAGATGATGTTGTTGTTGTTGTTACGTGCCGTGGAGTCGATTCCGACTCATAGCGACCCTGTACAGGGTTTCCGAGGCTTTAAATCTTTACAGGAGCAGAATGCCTCGTCTTTCTCCCGCGGAACAGCTGGTAGTTTTGAACTGCTGACCTTGCGGTTTGCAGCCCGATTCAAAACCACTACACTACCAGAGCTTAGACAGACACAAACACAGACAGAGAGAGAGATAATAGATAGATTTGTTAAGGCGTGTTCTTGGCTTACACAAGAGAAAGCTTTTCCTGAGTGTTGAATTGCAGGTGTCAGATACTGTCAGCATGTACTAAACACTTCTAAGGGAGCATGGAGATGTCCCCTATAAGGCTCCTAATTAGGCTGGAATTCCTTAAGAACTGAGACTAGATCTATGTAATTCACCATCCTTCCCCCAACAACTTGTCCAGGATTTGGTATACAATAAATGCACAATAAATGTGTGTAGGAAAGATAGAATGAACATAAAATAAGCTTGAAGCAATAACTGAAGGAACTACCCCATCTCCAAAAAACAGCCAAAGGTGTAGTGAACATATGTTAGTTGCTTTTTCAGCATCTAATTCCAACTTGGTTGCCTCCAAATCTACCCTACCCCTACTTCCAGAGCAGGGAATATATTATAGTGGTTATGGGCTTGCTGCTGTATAATACATACATAGTTATAGCCCTGGGACTCTACTGTGCAATTTGTCCCTCAGGAGAAGTTGGCAATGTCTGGAGACAGTTTTGGTTGTCACAATGTGTGTGTGTGTGTGTGTGTGTGTGATGTGATGTGTGTGTGTGTGTGTGTGTGTGTGTCTGAGTGTGCACATGTGCACTACTGCCACCTAGTGGGTGGAGGTCAAGGATGCAGCTCAACATCCCACAATGCACAGGACATCTAATTCAAAATATCAACCGTGCTGAGGTGGAGAAACTCTGAATTAAGGGATGGGTAGGTGACCCAGTGAACTCAAACATGCCACAAATTGTGCAGATGGCCCAGGACCAGGCAGCTTTTCATTTTGTTACACATGAGTCAGAACCTACTTAATGGCAACTAGCAACACAAATCAATTGGAATCAATAGAAAATCAACCCCAAGATGTCTACAAAGTTGCTTGAAGTTTCTCTTTTCCATAGGAAGTACCATATAGAGATATGATGTCTATGACCTCTGCTCTTATTTAGTTAACGGAGGGCTGGAACAGTGTAGTGGGGAAGAGAGATTGGACTGAGAATGAAATGAACCCCAAAGAAAAACTTAGTCCTTCTGGACCTCTTTGGAGCCAGCAGACCAACTCTTTTCTGAAGCTGGTCCTTTATAGTTTTATGAGCTAATGATTTCCTTTTGTTGTTGTTGTTGTTTAGGCCAATTGAGTTGACTTTCGTCACTTGCAACCAACAGCATTTCAACTCATATGGTAAATCAATGGATATTAAATCCCACCTCCTTCTGGTAGTGTAGTGGTTACGAATCAGGCTGCGGACCTCAGGGACAGCAGTTCGAAACTACCAGCTGTTCCACGGGAGAAAGATTTACAGCCTTGGAAACCCTGTACAGGGTCGCTCTGAGTCAAAACCGACTCCACGGCACATAACCACCAACAACAACCACCTTTCCTAGAGGGTCTTACCTAATGGGTTGTAAGAAACAAAACCCAACCTGGTATTGATTAAATTGTCCCTCAAAAATGTATGTTGAAATGCTAACCCTTGTGCCTATGAATGTGACTATATTTGGGAAAATAGGGATTTCTTTGGGGGTGTTGTCATCTAAGTTCAACAAAGTCATACTATAGTAGGATGGGTGCTAATCCTGTGAGAAACATCAATACCGACAAACGCTCAAATAATCTAATCCATATTCATTTTAGCAAGAGTGAGGTTTTCTTTATTCAATTTTGCAAAAGTGGGTACCGAACCCAGTAGACACGGGCAGACACGCCACATGGCCGGCCTGCAGTTTTGTTCCTGTCTCGAAAAAGCCCCTCCTCCAGTTCCACAATCTACCCCGAATGGTGCCCATGGTCTGAAAAGGCTGTATTCTTAGTTAAAGTTCTTAGTCCTAGAACAGAGTTCTTTCACCCTTCCCCCAATTCATCCTGCTGGGTGTAAATTAACAACTATGTCTGGTCTAGCAACCTCATGTGCCCTTTATTCCTGAAGATGGCCCATGTTGAGAATTTCTCACAATCCTACTTTCTTCTGAATGGTGTTCTATTAAAAAAAAAAAAAAAGACATGAGGCAGACTCAGAGAGGGATAGACATCATATGAAGATGGAGCCATAAGCAGCAAAGGAATGCCAAGGACCGTCAGCAGTCAGAAGAGCAGCGTGGAACAGTTCCTCTATGAGCCCTCAGAAGGAATCAATATGGTTTATATTCTGACATGAACTTACAGAGTTGAGAAAACTGATTTCGTTAATAAATTCATTTTTGTGGTATATTGTTAAAAGAGCTCTAGTAGTGTAGTGATTACAAGGCGAGCTGCTAACCTCATGGTCAACAGTTCAAAACTACCAGCGGTTCTGCAGGAGAAAGATGAGGCTTTCTGCTCCTGTAAAGATTTACAGCCTCAGAAACCCTATGCTGGGTCGCTATGAATTGGAATCGACTCCACGGCTAATAACTACCACCATTATCATGGGAACCCTAGGAAACTATGACTGGAATCTGTAAAGGATGCTAGCACAGATTAAGGAGAATTGATTGCACTGAGCATGGGATTATCTCCAGGTGAGAGTGATGCCAAACCAGCATCAGACACGGAAAAGGTGATCAAATACCAATTGTTGTTGAAGGAATGAGTGTCTAATGATCTGAAGCCCTAAGAGCTCCCATATCTGACACTTTCTAATATTAGTTCCATGCTCGGGCTGTTTATTCACACTAGTAAAGGCCCTAAAAGGACCATCCACATTTCTTAATCTACCTGTGACCTTAAAAGCTCCACCAATGGGTACCACCTTCAGCATCAACTAAAGAAAGCTCGCAAATGATGGAATCTGATTGGTTCACCTACGATCCAATCAGTGTCATTCTCTGCCAGAAGAGAACACTTGTGAGTAGTCAAGTCCAATGGGTTTTACACCAAAATGGGAGTTCAGTTGATCTCTAGGGGTGGGGGTAGACAGAAAAAGGCCCACCACCACCATGCCCCAGGTTACCTAGACACAGAACAGTGACACTGAGTGTTAACTATTCCTTTATTAGGCAGTGAGGGGCTGTACAATGCAGGGACTGGTATTCAACTACTCAAGGGTTGTGACCAGAAACCATATTACAAAAATAGCCTAAAAATACCTCTATTCTGCCGTGGGGCTGGGCCAGGGGAGCATCAGGGAGAGGGGTCTCCCCGCAAGCAGCTCCTTCCCTCCCTGCAGTCCCATATTTACAGGGAAGCAAAGTGGACTACAGGCTTCTCCCCTGAACCCCAAGTTCTCACCAGCTTCTCCCCAGTTCCCAATGGGAGGTGGTCCCAGGGACAGCAGGGTTCTGAGGAAGAGGGACCTGGGAGTGGGCTCTTCAGGCCAGAAGGGCCCTTCCCCCAGCAAGTTAGAATAAATCCTATCTGGAATGCAGTGAAGTAAGGGAGAGGGGTGGGGGAGGAGGCTCCCAAGACTCACCCGACCCCTGGCTCCAGAGGGCACGCCCAAGGGTGCCTACTTGGTACACACCAGGGCCGTGTACTTGGTACACAGGGTCCCAGTTTGCCTGTGCACTGCGTACACAGAATCCAGCTTGGCCAAACGGGCCCACAGACTCAGCCCCACAGGGGCACCGGGGGTTCACAGGGAGGGGGAGCATCTCCATATATATATATTGTAAAAAATAATTATAATAATAAGTTTGTTTAAATGAATTTGTTTTCTATACAAAATGTAAAAAAAAAAAAAGAAAAATCCACTCATGTAAGAGTGTGAAGCCGGAGGAGGGAAGAAGGAAAGAGAAAGTAAGAGACAAAAAGGAGGTCCCAGACTCACCCCAAGACTGGGAGGGTGGGGCAGTCAGTGCCACCCATTATAAATAAAGGAAGACTGAGGCCCTGGGCTGATGGTCTGCCTCGGCCACCAGCAAGGCAGGGTGCAAGGGACTGAACAAGGCTAAAGAGAAGAGAGGTCAGGGTGAGGTGAAATCAACTCCCCGAGATCCAGGCACTAACGAGGCTCTCAGGCCAACACCTGCCTCTTGGGAGGGACCTCAGGATGGGGCCCCAGCTGGGTCGGGGTCTGAGTGAGGGAGCCAGGAACTGGCAGGGGGAGGGTCTGGGCAGGCAGTGTTCCAGCAGCTGTAGCCGGGCTAGGTGTAGAGTCAGACCAGTCTGAGAGGGAAGGTGGGGACGGACTGGCCCAGTGCTCCGGGGACTCAGGGGAGGGGGTCAGGTAAGGGTGCTCACTAGGAACACGCAGGAAGTGGGCCTTGCGGGGGCTGCTATGGGGCCCAGCTGCCACATATTCCTCACCATGTCCTGGGGTGGCGAGGTAAGGTGGGGGCCGCTCCTGGGGGGAGACAGGGGTCCCGGGGTTCAGCAGCTGTGGACCTGGGGCCAGGGGCAACAGGAACGAGGGGCCCGGTGGGGCTGGTGGGGGCAGGCGGGCCCAGTCAAGAGGCACCGCCACCGGATTCAGCAGACCCAGGCTCAGCACGCAGCCGCCTGGTGGCTGGCGCCCCAGACCCATGCGCCCGGCACCCCCAAGCTGCGCCAGAGAAACTGCTGTGGCCGTGGCGGCTGCGTAGGGCCCCTCAAGGGAGAAGCCACCAGGAGAGGCAGGGGGCCCCCCAAAGGGCCGGGGGGAGTCCAGCGAGTCCACGGGTGAAAGGGTGACGGAGCTGTCTGCCAATGGCCCTGGACAGGCCAGCGTCAACTTCTTGCCCCGTCCCCGGGCCCCCTGCGGCCCGAGCCCCGCCTTCCCAGGGGGTCTCCGATTCTTCTTGCCCCCTGACGGCGCTGCTTTGAGGCCCGGGAGGAAGGCCCCGGGTGGGCAGAGCAGGGGCCCCAGGCCGTGGGGGCCTGGAGGGCTGCGGGGCCCGCTAGGTTGGTCCAGCAGCCGCACGATGTCCTGGTGCAGCCGTTCCTGGGCCACGTCCCGCGGTAGCCGGTCCAGGTGGTCGGTGATCTCTCGGTTGGCAAAGTGGTCCAGCAGCAGCTTGGCAGCCTCAAAGCTGCCCTCACGCGCTGCCAGGAACAGGGGCGTCTCCTCCTGGGGGCCAGAACCCACAGGCATCAGGGTCATGAAAGCCACGTTAAAATTCCTGGCTACCCCCAGCCAAATCTGCTGAAGCTTCACAGACCCCGTTTCAACTCCTGACCCTGCTGGAAGAACCTGAGCAAATTCATTCTTTGATGGCACATCTATGGAGCCTCGGGGCCAAAGCCAGGGTGAGGCAAGTGAGGCACTAGGTCCAAACAAAAAACAAACCCAACTTACTGCCATTCTGTCAGTTCTACCTCATGGCAACACCATGTGTTAGAGCAGAGCTACCCCATAGTGATCATCTTTACAGAAGCCAATCACCAGACCTTTCTTCTGTGATGCTGCTGAGAGGGTTCAAACTGCCAACCTTTAGGTCAGTAGTTGAGTGCCAACCATTTGCCCCGACCCAGAGACCTTGTCAGGATTTTTTATTGAGGACCCACTAAAAGCACTTTACAGACACTTTAGAGCTCACCAAGTTCTCGGGAGAGGCCATACTGTTGCTTTTCCCTTCCACTTCACAGGTAAGGAAACTAATGTTCAGAGAAGTTAGTGAACTTGCCCAACATCACACAGCAGTGGCCATAGACTTCCTCCTCTGCTCCCTAGTCATGGCTTCTTGGCCCAAATCCCACCCTGAAAGGTGGCCTCAGGCAAGGTCAATGTCCCTACCGCAGCCCCCAGGTAGGCTAAAACCCAGGCTCACCTTGCTGTCCTGCATATCCTTGTTGGCTCCGTTTTTGAGCAGGACCAAGGTGGCCTCCACATTGTTGACAGCAGCAGCCCAGTGCAAGGCTGACTTCCCTGGAGGGAGAGGGGAGAAGACAGAGTCTGGACCCAGCTCATGTTTCTGTCCCCACAGCATAAAGCAGAAAGTGCCCAGAACGTGGCCTGGAGCAGGATGGTCACGAAGTCATCAAACACGTGTATGGGCAGGCACTCTCTGTACATGTGTGTGTGTGTGTCGCCAACTCCCAGTACACAGGGAGCTGTGTGTGCATGTGTGCATGTGCTTACCTGCACATGGTTGTCACTACTGAGGAGCACTGGGTCACTGAGTGTGCTTCACTTGGGTGTACCTACCACAACTATTCACAGGGGGTTCTTTCAGTTCAAATTAAAATGCAAATAAATGCACATTTAGTTCTCTGTCACCCAGACGCATTTCCAGGAGTCTCTCTGTGTGTGGCTAGTGGCTAGCCCATAGATGACAGACACAGAACACATCCATCAGTGCAGGAGGGCTCAGTACAGTGCCCATCTACAGCCAGGGTTCTCAACGGAGGGGGGGGGGGGGGGGGGGATTTTACCCCCTAGCAAGGCACTGTGCATGTCTGGAGACAGTTTTGGCCATCACAGCTGAGGAAGGATCCTGCTGGCACTGAGTGGGTTGAGATCAGAGATGCTGTTCAACACCCTACAGTGCCCAGGACAACAACTCCCACCACAAAGAATGCTCCGGCCCCAAGTGTCAGCCACATTGCTGGGAATCTGCACAGGTGCAAACGCGAGGCCTCCACAGAGGTGCCTTCGCAGTGTGCTGAGTCAGGCCCCGACTCACAGCCGCCCCACACACCACAGAACAAAACACTGCCTAGTCAATTCTGACTCATAGTAAGCTCATGGTGACAGAGAGAACTGTGATGCTCCATAGGGTTTTCAAAGGCTAAATGTTCAGAAATCAATCTTCTAAGGCCCCTTTGGCTGGACTCAAATCGCCAATCTTTCAGTTAGAAGCTGAGCCTTAACTGCTTGCACCATCCAGGGACTGTGGTTGGTGGTGGCTCTGTGCCACAGAGTCGGTTCTGACTCATAGCGACCCTGTACAGGGTTTCCGAGGCTGTAAATCTTTACGGGAGCAGAAAGCCTCATCTTTTTCCTGAAGAACAGCTGGTAGTTTCGAACGCAGTTCGGAACGTAACCACTGTAAATTGGGCAAATCTGCACATGCATTACCATGGTTGTCCAGCAGAGGGCGATACAGTAGGTTCTGGCAAGGCAGATGGAAAGTGCCTTGGGGAAGGGCAACATTTTCTAAACCACAGTGGTATTGTACGGGCATGCAGTGGCACGTCCACATTGCAGCATGGTTAGGTGTGCATGAACTTCAATGTTCAAGTCTACACGTGGGTGTGAATTCACACAAACACAAGAGCTGGGACCAGGTAGTACCCCTCGGAGCCCCAACAGCACTACTTTCTCTGCCTGCCTACCAAGCTCATCCACAGCATTCACGTCCGCGTGGCTGGCAATGAGCTCTTCCACCATGCCCTCCACTGCCAGGCGGGCTGCCAGGATTAGTGCCGTCGAGCCGTCAGCCATGCGGGCATCCAGGTCTGTGGATCGGTTCCGGATGAGAATCTGGGTGGGTGGAGAGAGGAGAACAATGCAGCAGGGGCAGACAGGGTAGAAACAGAGTCAGGAGGACTCCCAAGCCCCAAGCACTGCCGACTTCCACCTGCCCTGGAATCAAAGAAACAGCCAAACATGGTATTCCGTATATCCCATTTTATAAATGAGAATGAGCTCATTAAGAGTAACTCAGTTAATGAAAGGCTGACCCAGTACTCAGTCTCACCTGGAAGACACCTTGAGCATCGGCGGTGACAGCTGTGTGCAGAGGGGTACGGCCTGAGTGGTCCTGGGTGTTAGTATCTGCCCCTGCATCCAACAGCCGCTTGGCCGCGTCAGCCCGGGCATAGCGAGCAGCCAGGTGCAGGGCTGTCTCGCCAGTGCGATCAGTCTGTGCCCCGAGTTGGGCGCCCTGGCAGATCAGGTCTGAAATGATGCTGGCTGACGTGTCATCGGCCTCATCCTCCTCAGCTGGCATGGGCTCCAGGACTCCCCCACAGAAGGAGGCCAGCATTAGCGGGGTGAAGCCATCTATGGGAATCAGAAGTAACCCCTGAGCGTGGTGGGCACCAAGGTCTCTCCAGGGAGTATCACAGGCTCCACACGAGGGGAAAATGGGAGTGGCAGGGCCTCCCATATGCACACATCTGTGTCAGGTGCCCCAAGCTTACCCAGGATAAGGATTCCTGAGCATGTGATTTGGAAGTAGGACATCCAGGACTAAAGCAGGGGAAACCCAGCAAGTGTGCAACCTCAGGCTAACTTCGAGGAACCTACTTCAGCCCCATCCCATGGGGGTTCTCTGGAGAGTGAACTGTACCAACGCCATGGGTAAACACTGCCTCTGGGGACATAACTTCCCAGGCACTGCAGGTTCCTGGAGCCTGAAGGACTTCCAAAGACAACCACAGGGAGAAAAGGCAGAACAAAGCCGGGATAGGAGTACCCAAAAATGTGACAGACCCAAGAGGATCTGGGCAGTATGGTCAGTTACACTCGACACATATTTACATTATATTGCTCTGGTCTCCTTAGGGAACCATTTGCATCCCATTCTTCATCCATGGGTAGAGGCCCGGATAGAACTAAACCCCTCTCCTCAGCACAGGGAGAGGCAAGCCACCCTATAGATTTGCATAGTCTAGCCCCCTGGCCACACTGATTGGCTCAGGGATGGACATGTGACCCTAATCTGACCAATCAGAACTCATCCTAGGACTTCTGATTGAGCAGTTGCAAGAAGAGGGTTGATTCACCCAGTGGCCATCTTGCTGCCCCCAGGAAAAAGTTAGCTGGAGTTGGAGCCACCACAGCTGGCCGGAAACTGAGCCCTTAGAGGTGGGAGAAGAAAGACTGAGTTTTAGATCCAAATGCACCTGGCACTTTCAACTCTTAAACCTGCAAATCCTTTTTCTTTTTTTTTTTTAATTTTAACTTAAGCTAATGTGAGTTGGGTTTTTGTGACTTACAACCAAGATTCCTGATTTGCACACACATACACAGACGCCTGAATACAGCCCAGTTCTCCCCAGAACGCAGCTCCAGAAACAGCCTCTCGTGAGAAGGAGGGGCAGGGGCGCCATCACTGACCTGGACCGCGCACATTGACGTCCATGCTGTCGGAATCCACATCGCCCTGTGGTGGTGTCAGCGCCATGGCAGGCGCCACACGAATGTCCGCAGCCACCAAGTGGTGCTGAGTCCACTGACGGCAGTCCACAGCATCCTCGGCCCCCACACTGGGCTCCTCTACCTAGAGGTACAAGGAGCCAGGGTCTTCAGACCTCACCCTCTGGAGGTGGGCACAGACACCAGTGTGGGAGTGGCCCCCGCCCAGGGTTTCTCTCACTCAAACACACACAAAGAACCCCACTGCTGTGAGTCCATTCCGACTCACATCAACTCTCTAGGACAGAGAACTACTTGCTTCAGTTTCCGAGGCTATGAAACTTTACAGAAGCCGAAGCTTTATCTTCCTCCCACAGAACAGCTGGTGGGTTTGAACCGCGGACCTTGTGCCACCAGAAAGGTACACAGCGCCCCTGAAAACCCACGAACACCCTCTGTCTTTGTTTCATTCACCAAGTCCAGCAGGTGCCCAGGTAACAGCGTCGATGACCTCAGAACTCCCTGGTGCACTTTGGGGCTGGGCACACTGGATAACATTCCGATTCAGCACAGAAAATAATCTGTTTGGACCAAAGATCTCCTCCGGGGAAGACCCCAGGCTGGTCTGGGACCAGGGTCCTAGCTGGGGAGGGGGCAAGGACCTTCGACCCACTGCTGTTCTTGTTAGTTGCCTTCAAGTAGATTCTAACTCAGCGACGCCATGGCTACAGAGTAGAACCAATCTGTAGAAATTCCCAAGGCTGTGGTCTTCCAGAATCAGATAGCCAGGCCTTTCTTCTGAGGTACCTCTGGGTGGACTCGAACCACCAGCCTTTCGGCTAAACGTCAAAGGCTTCACTATTTGCACCCAAGGATACATCTCCTTTTCTCCCTGAGGCCACAGAGCAACACCAGGAAGCTGCAACCTTTCTCTTGAGCCTGAGGGGTAGGTGGTAGGAAAGCAGAACCTCCCCTGGGCTCTCCCACTGACCATCTGCCCCACCCAGGACCCTGTAGGCGGGTAGCACCTTCAGTCTCTTGGCCTCCGGGCACTCGGTGTCCATCCAGTCTGTTGCCACCTCCCCCATCAGACTCTCACTCTTGGCCATGTTCCTGTGGGGACAGTGAAAAGGGTAAATATGAGGGGACACTGGCAGCCTGCCACCTGGGAGAGGGACTTGTGGATAGAGTCAGGGGAACGGTCAGAGAGACGAGCTCAAGGCATCTTGAATTGGTCAATAAGCATACAGGACAGGGTTGAGACAGGGTCCAGTGACAGGATGTGGGGTGGGCTCACAATGAGAGAATATAACAGTGACAGGCGGAATTGGGGGAAGGGATCGTTGTGGGGTCATGGGTTATGATGGGGGATGGTGGGTCCTAAGGTGGAATCAGAGGGAAGGATGGGGTCAGGGATCAGAGCAGTGGGTTCTAGGCCAAGTGAGGGGCCATGGGGAAACAGTGTGGTTATTGGGGATGACCTCATACTAGGTGGGAGATGCAGCCATGATGGTGAAGGGTCAGTGGTCATGAGGTCAGAAGTGAGGGACAAATCCAGAAGTCTGGGTGAAGTCAGGTCAGGGTGGGGTAGGGCATCTTAGGGGAAAGTCAGGAAGTCAAAGGTAAAGATGGAGGTCAAGGCCAAGATAGAGGGCCATGGGCTAGAGATGGGGTGAAAGGTCAGGGTGGGTTGGAGCCAGAGGTGGGATTGGGAATCATGAAGAACAGGCCCAGGGGTGCAGACGGAAATCATGAGGTCAGCAGTCATGTGGGAATACACACTGGGTGGCACGGGGGCATCTGAGGGGCTAGGATTCGTGTGGAATTAGGGGGGGGCTGGGACAGGGTGACCACCAGGTCAGAGTCAGTGCTCAGGGGGGACGAACAGTGGAGCCCAGTGTAGAATCTGAAGCTAGAGTCAGGCCAGGGTCAGAGGTCAGTCAGTGAGTCTCAGCGGACAGGATCCTTACTTCATGCCCAGCGCGTCCTGGCCCACGGGCTCCCGTCGGCCCTTGTGGCCTGCAGCCGTGTCCTTGTGCAGTGAGAAGCCCTCGGGGAACCACAGGGTGCTGTGTTCACGCTTGCGCCGGGCCACCATGACACCCAAGACGAGAATGACCAGCAAGAAAACGGCACCTGCGGCCAGCAGCGGCAGCACAGGCATACTCGACTCCGGCGGCTCCAGGGGTTCAGCTGCAGGAAGAAGTGGGGTTTCAGCTCTGGCGGGGTCCCCCACTGGGCCCCCAGATCCCTTGTGTAGCCCTGGGGCATGGTCTCACCCCGCACAGCCCGCAGCGGGTACGGGAAGTCCAGACGTTCCACCGCCGACAGGGCACCCAGGTAGTCGGCCGCGCTCTGGGCATCAGGGAAGCAGTGGTCATTCTCGGGTGACTGCAGGCACAGCCGGTTGTCAATCTCCAGCATGACCACAGAACTACAGGACACATGAACAGGAGGACCAGACTAACCCAGTGATCAAGCCTTCACAAACCCTTTGTCCTAAGAGATGTTAGCCAAGTTATCATTAATGACTTCACAGGGTTTTTAAGACAGTGGCCTTGAGTTGCTGAATGCTAGCGCCATCTTCTGAGGAGTCTTTTGGTTAAGTTCGAACACCAACCTTTCGACTCGTTGTCAAGCACTTAACTGCTTGTGGCATCCTGCGATTCCTTCACACAGTGTCTTAAGCTTTTGCAAACATCCTTTGTGTTAAGACCTAGCCTGTTACACATTGAATTGTGTCCCAAAAAATACATGTGTTATAATCTTAACCCCTATACCTGTGAACTTCTGGTGTGGTGCTGTAGGATCAGCACTGGACTGCAAACCACAAGGTCAGCGGTTCAAACCCACCAGCTACTCCTCAGAAACCCTATACAGGGTTGCTATCAGTGGGAATCGACTTGATGGCACTTAACAACAAAATACCTGTGAACAGAGTCCCTGGATGGATCAAAAGTTTAAGCACTCAAAACAAAAAGTTGACTGTTCAAGCCCACTCCATGGGGCCTCTGAAGACAGGCTTCAAGTTCTACTCCCATAGCCAACCATAAACTGGTATGAGGGTGCAAAAGACTCGTGCCCAAAGGTGGAGCCCAATCTGGGGCACCATTCATGCTCTAGGGTATAAATTATTTTCTCCCTCAATGAGTGGCGCTGTGGGTTAATGCGCCAGACTGCAAAGTCGTTTGAACTGCAAGGTCGGCAGTTCAAGCTCACCAGCAGCTCCTTGGAAACCCTATACAGGGTCACTATGGGTCGGAACTGAATCGACGGCACTTAACAACAACAATGTGGAACGGAACCCTAATCCCTATATTTGTGAAGACAAGCCTGCTTTGAAATTGGGTTTTCTTTGCTATGAAGTTAGACCATATCCAAATTTGGGGGGAGGAAAAACGTTGCCCTCCGACGCATGGATCTCAGAGTAGAATTATGCTTTGTGGATTTTTTTTTCCAGGTACCTCTGGATGAACTCAAACCACCAACGTCCAAGTTAACAATCAACACATGAATCGAGGGTACCACCCATCCAGGTACTCCATTACAAAATGTTAAGTAAAATCGCAGAAAGACCTGGGTCTGCTCAGAGCGCCCCATTCCCAAGAGCCCTTGTACAGAGCAGGGTTTTCTGGATTCACCAGTGGGAATGGGTGGGGCCATCTGTGGGGGTGGAGGCATATCATGGGATGAATCAGCACAAGTAGGTGGTATGACTCACCCGATCACTTCCGGAGTCAGCTCACGCCGAGCACGGGGTTCTGGGCCTGGCCGGTGGTAAGGGAAGACCATGGCTTGGCCATTCCCGTCCAGGCGAAAGCGCAGCGACGTGCGCAGGATGGCGCTGAGCCGCTGCAGGAAGTCGGCGCTGGAGCGCAGCAGCTCTTCCGGCGGCAGGAGCACAGTGAGCACCAGCACCCCGCGCGCCAGCAGCGCCGGCACCTCGCCTGCGCAGTCCAGCCCATCCCAGCCGCATTCCTCCGTGTTGCAGCCCTGGTCGCAGCGGCCGTCGGCAAAGTGGTCTGCGCAGTACTTCTCGTACACGGGGCTGGTGGGCAAAGAAGGCAGGTCAGGGAGTCTCAAGGGCAGATAACCAGTGCACAAGGGGCCCCAAATGCTCCGGAACTTGAAAAGGTTTCAGCAAATACAACTATGAATTCGCTTAACACCATACCATACCAGTTGCCAGTGGGGTTGATTGGAACTCCTGATAACCCCATGTAAACAGAGTAGGACTGAAGTGGTGCACAGGGTTTTCAAGCCTGTGACCTTTCAGAAGCAAATGCAAAGGCTTTCTTCCAAGCACCTCTGGGTGACTTTGACTGCCAACCTTTCGGCCAGTAATCAATCCTTTGAACCATTTGTACCAAGCCACAACAACTCTATCCATTCAAAGCTGTTGGTGTTAAGTACAATATAGTCAGAGCTACACCATATAGGATTTCTGAGGAGTGGCTGGTGAGTTTGAACCACCACACCTCGGGATTCAAACAACCGAACTTGTGGTTGAATGCTTATCCTACGTCGCCACACCAGGACTCCATTCGATTCAATAACCATTACTAATGGTGTGGATCCTGGGAACACTTAGGGTAGGTCCAGCCACCAATCTCCCATGTGGAGGAGCCATTCCAGTAGGGTGGAATAGATGTTAGAGGAGAGAAAGCAGAATGAGTTGTATCCAGTTACACATCAGTAAAAGCAAAAATAGAACTAATCCAAAGATTGGCAGTTCAAACCCACCCAGAAATGCCTCCAAAGACAGACCTGGTGATCTACTTCTGAAAAGTCACAACCTTGACAACCCTATGGAGGAGTTACTTCTACCCTGAACACATGGATTGTCCAGTTGTTGGAACAGACGTCTATTCACCCTAAGGCTATCAAGAACAGATTAGTTGCATTTGACACTAATGACCAAAAACCAGATGAGCTGTGGAATGACGTTTAGTACAAATACAGGAAGAAAATAAGGGGTCATTAAAAAACACAGAAAAGACCAAAAGGATTTCAGAAGAGATTCTGAAACTTGCTCTCCAGCATGGTCAGTGGTTGGTAGTTACGTGCCTCAGAGTCGGTGCCAACTCATAGAGACCCTGCATAGGATTTCTGAGGCTTTAAATCTTTACGGCTGCAGAAAGCCTCACCTTTCTCCCATGGAATGGCTGGTAATTTTGAAGTGCAGACCTTCAGGTTAGCAGCCTGATTCAGAACCGCAAAGCTGCCATAGATAAGCTAAAACAAATGGAAGAAATGAGGAAGTAAAAGAACTGAACAGAAAATTTCAAAGGGCAGCTTGAAAAGATAAAGTCAAGTAATGAATGAAATGTGCAAAGACTTGGAATAGAAAACCAAAAGGAAAGAACATGCTCAGCATTTCTCAAGCTCAAAAAAATGAAGAAAAATTCAAGCCTTGACTTGCTATATTGAAGGATTCTATGGAAAAGATACTGAATGATGCAGAAAGCATCGACAGAAGATGGAAGGTATATACAGAATCACTGTATCAAAAAGAAATGGTCAATGTTCAGCCATTTCAAGAGGTAGCACATGATCAAGATCCAGTGGTATTGAAGGAAGAAAGAAGTCCAAGCTGCACTAATAGTATTGGCAAAAAACAAGCCTCCAGGAACTGATGGAATATAAACTGAAATCTTTCAACAAACTAATGCAGCATTGGAGGCGCTCACACATCTATTCCATACTTGTGCCCTTCCAAAGAGAGATGATGTGGTGCTGTGGGCTAATGCGTCAGACTGCAAAGTCGTTTCAACTGCAAGGTCAGTGGTTCAAGCTCACCAACTGCTCCTTGGAAACCCTATACAGGGTCACTATGGGATGGAATCGACTCGACGGCACTTAACAACAACAAAAAAGAGAGGTAACTCAACAGAACATGGAAATCATTGAACCGTATCATCAATATCACATGCAAGTAAAATTTTGCTGAAGATAAAATTCAAAAATGGCTGCAACAGTACCTCAACTGATAAAAACTCAAGCTGGATTCAGAAGAGGACATGAAACTAGGGATACCATTGCTGACGTCAGATGGATCTTGACAGAAAGCAAAGAACACCGGAAAGATGTTTACTTGTGCTTTAAAGACTTTTGACTGTGTACCTCATGACAAACTACGGATAATATTACAAATAAGTATTCCAGAACAATTGATTGTGTTCATGAGGAACCTATATATAAACCAAGAGGCAATCGCTCAAACAGAACAAGGGGACACTGAATGGTTGCAAATAAGGAAAGATATGTGCCAAGGCTGTATTCTTTCACCACACTTATTCAATCTTTATGCTGAGCAAATAAATCCGAGAAGCTGGATTATATGAAGAAACTAGAGGAAGACTCCTTAACAACCTTCGATGTGCAGATGATGATACGCGCTTGCCTGCTAAAAGGGAAGAACACTTAAAATACTTAATGATGAAGATGGAAGAATACAGCTTTCAGTATGGATTGCACCTCAATGTAAAGAAAATAAAAATCCTCACAACTGGAGCAATAAATAAAATAAAGGAAGAAAAGACTAAAGTTGTCAAAGACTTCATTTTGCTTGGATCTACAATCAACGCTCCTGGAAGCAGCAATCAAAAAATCAAATAACATACTGCACTAAGCAAATCTGCTGCACAAGACCTCTTTTAAGTGTTCAAGAGCAAAGATATCAGCTTGAGGGCTAAGGTACACCTGATTCAAACCACAGTCTTTTCAATTGCCTCACATGCATGTGAAATTTGAACAATGAACAAGGAATAAGAAAGACTGTAGAACTGAATTATGGTGTTGGAAAAGAATGTTGAAAGTACCATGGACTGCCAGAGGGAAAAAAACAAAACCTATGTTGGACTAAGTCCAACGAGAATACTCCTTGGAAGCAAGGTTGGCAAGACTCCATCTCTGATACTTCATACATATTATCAGAGGGGACCAGTCCCTGGAGGAGGACATCATGCTTGGTAAAGTGGAGATTCAGCAAAAGAGAGGAAGACCCCCAACGAGTTGAACTGGTACAGTGGCAGCAGCAATGGACTCAAGCTTAACACAATTGTGTGGACGGTGCAGGACTGGGCAGTGTTTCATTCTGTTATGTATAAGGTCGCTGTGCATCGGAACGGACTCAGTGGCTCCTAACAGTAATAACACAATCACACAGAGGGTGTGTAGTATCAGAAGCAAAATATAGCAGGAGAAGGGCAGGCGTGGTAATGGATGGGGGCCATAGGTGTGTATCAATGGACAGCGGAGGGTACATGGACAGAGCATTCAGCTTGACACGCAAGTACACAGAAAGTATAAACAGACAGGGCACTTGAATGGTCTGACAGGCAAATCAGGGCAAGGCAGAAAGATGGCTAGGAAGACAAACACATTGACAGACTGGGCGGATTGAAGGAGAGACTGGGGCTAAAATGCCAGGCAGACTGGACACAATTCTGAGAGGCGGTGACCCCGTGCAGATAAGACCCAGATGCACAGCAGATGAACGGACGGAGACTCACTTGCAGGTACGTTCGTGGCCACCAGTGTGACAGTCGAAATTGTCGTAGAGGCAGGCAGGTGAGCTGCAGGCAGGGTCGCAGCGACTGTTGTTGAAGAGGCGCCAGCACTGCAGAGCCGCGCACTGCCGCCAGGGGTCACCCACGCTCAGCGAGCAGTCGCCACCGTCCCAGCCACAACCCGGGCTGTTGCACTCGCGGTCGCAACGGCGGTCCCCGCGTTTGGCGCGGCAAGCGGCAAGAGCGCACCGCGGCTCCTCGGCGACCTCGGGGACAGCGGAGGGCGCCTCACAGCGCATCCCTGCCCAGCCCGGGGCACACGAGCAGAAAAAGAAGGGCGCGAGTGGCGCGGGGTGGCACAAGCCCCCGTGCAGGCAGGGGGCGGCCGCACAGCTGGCGTTGGTGGGTCCTGGCAGCAACCCCCGCGAACCTCGGCAGGCGGGCCCCGACAGCCCCGGGGGGCAGGCACAGCGCGGCCCACGTACGGTCTGCTGGCAAGGGATGCCCACTGGACACTGTAGCTCCCGGCAGGAGCGCGCCACCCGCTCGCACCGCGGACCCCAGAAGGGCTGGGGGTAAGGCAGAACAAGAGAAGAAAAAGCGAGGGCAAGAAGACATGGGGAAGAGGAGAGAGTTAGCGGAGGTCAAGACTTGAAGAGGTTGAATCCTCAACCTCCCCAGGTCCTAGCCAATCTCATTCCTCTCCACCGGAGGCTTCACCTTACAGATAGGCCCACCTTCCCCCGAGGCCACGCCCCTACTTCCTCCAGGTAATTACAGGCTTTCCCCTAGAAAGTTCCACCCTTCCCTGTACCCCTGTTTAGGCCTTCTCTTGAGACCACCAGAAGTTCTTTCCCCAGAAACACTGTCTGCCATTTGAACGCCCACTCACTCCCCACCTACACCTACCGGGACACAGTGGCAAACGAAAGTCAGCGCCCCCCCAGGGCCCTGGCTGGGACGGCACTGGCCTCCACGTTGGCAAGGCTGGGACTCGCAGGGGGACAGGACAGTCTGACAGCGGGGACCTGGGTGAATGGGGGATGGTGAGTCCGCTGTAGTGGGGAAATGACAAGCATGTCCTTGCCCAGGCCCTCTCTTGCACTTACCTGTGAAGCCTGTGTGGCAAAGGCAGTGGAAGCTCCCACCTGGGTCCTGCAGGCAGTCCCGAGTGTGTGCCAAGTGGCAGGTGCCCGGGCGACACTCGTTGATGTCCGCCTCGCATCGCAAACCGGTGTAGCCAGGCGGGCAGGTGCAGTGGAAGCCACCCACCAGATCCACACAGGTACCATTGTGCAGACACAGGGGGCTGGGCTCCTGGGTGGGGCCTGGACCACAGTCATCCTCATTGATCTCACAGAGCACACCTGGGGGATCGGGACAGTCAGGGGTGATGAAGTCCCAGCTTTCCACCCTGCCCTCCAACCCTGGCCCCGGCAGCCCGGTCATACCTAGTGTCCCGGGCGGACAGGAGCAGAGATAGCGGGCCACCAGATCAATGCAGGAGCCCCCATGCTGGCAGGGCTGAGAGGCACACTCATTCACATCATCCTCACAGTTGTCACCAGTGTAGCCGGCAGGACACTACAGTGTGAGGGCAAGATGGAAATCCACTCAGCCACGGGGACAGACACACCCAAACTTCCCTGTGAAGACACAGAAAAGCCAGCACAGAGGACACACACAGGCACCCAGAAGACACACCCAACCCAGAGGGACAGACACAGGAGAAATAGTCAAGACACCATAGCCAGAAACACAGATAACACCCAGGAAACAACCAAAGACAGATACCCGCAAATCTACAGACTTGCCATGGAGCCAGCCCTAACTCATGGCTACCTCATGTGAGTCAGAGTAGAACTGTGTTCCACAGGGTTTTCAATGACTGATTTTCAGGAAGCAGACTGACAAGTCTTTCTTCTAAAGAGTTTCTGGGTGGACTCGAACCTCCAACCTTTCAGTTAGCAGCCAAGCTATTAACCAATTACACTACCTAGAGATTTTGCCTGAAGAATGACTCTCACCCAAATACACCCAGAGAAAGGCACACTCACACAGGGCCATGACCAGATGCATGGCACCCCTTACCTCACACATGTAGCCCCCCATGTAGCCACGGCAGGTGCCCCCATGCTGGCAGGGTTGGGCCAAGCAGGGGTCCACCTCCTGCTCACAGTGGCTACCCGTGCGGCCTTCTGGGCACAAGCAGTAGTGGACACTGTCCTCGTCTACACACTGCCCGCCAGCCTGGCACAGCTGCTCCAGCTGTACACCTGGGCAGAGGAGGGCGGCATCAGGCACACAGGCAGCCACATAGGTTTCCCCCACCAACATTACCCAAAGCATCACCCAGGTTGTCATACACACCCAGACTGGCATGGCCTTAACCATTCACAACACACACGTACACAGCCCTGCCGGCATCACCCAGAATCCCAGCTGGAGTCACACAGCACCCCTACTGTGGTGACCAAAATCACCTATGGGCACACACCCTGCTGGCATCGCATCAAAGTCATCATACCCGCCCCCTGCTGGTACAACTCCAGTCACACACACACATGTTCATACACACGTCGTCACAGCGCACCCCAGCTCTGTCACTACTATGGATGGAATTGTGTCCCCAAAAATGTTTGTTGGAACCCTAGCCCTTCTGGCTGTGGATGGGGTCACCATGAGTCAGAATGAACCGAGTCTGGTTTGGTTTATACAGATGGTGGTTGTTAGCTGCATTCAAGCCTGACTCCTTCTCACAGCAAGTGTGTGTGTGTGTGTGTGTGCGTGTGTGCAGAGTAGAACTGCTCTCCGTGGTTCTGAAGGCTGGGACCTTTCAGGGGCAGATTGGTCAGGCCTGTCTTCCAAGGCCCCTCTGAGTGAGTTCGAATAGCCAACCTCTGGGCTTGTAAAGGAGTGCTTAACCATTTTGCCATGCAGGGGTTACTGTGGATGGGATTCCATTTGGGAACAGAGGTTTCTTTGTTATGTTAATGTAGTCATAATCCATGTAGGGTGGGTCCTAGACCTACTCACTTTTGAGATCTAGAAAGAGCAGGTTGTTGTTATGTACCATGGAGTCGGTTCCGACTCATAGCGACCCTGTACAGGGTTTCCGAGGCTGTAAATCCTTACAGGCGCAGAAAGCCTCATCTCTCTCCCGTAGAACAGCTCGTAACCACTACGCTACCAGAGCTCCTTAGAAAGAGCAGGTTAGGCAGAGAGAAATAAGCACAGAGGGGAAAATGTGTGTCATGTGGAAAATGCCAAGGAAGTGAAGCACGCTGGGTCTACAGAAACTGAGAAAGACCATCCCCCAGAGATTTCCCTGATAACCAGGGCCCGGAACTGACTTCTAACTCCCCAACTGAGAGAGCATTCATTTCTGTTTACTAAAGCCCCCACCCCCCAACTAGCAGTATTTCTGTTCCAGCACCTTTAGGAGACTGAGACAATGAGACAGTCACACACAGTGTCCCACAAGCCACACACATTCTCACCAGCTGTCACTCACACACACAGCCTCCAAGCCCACACAGAGAGTGCATACCAACATCGTCCATCAGCTCACACTAGCCCAAGGTGTGCACACACGTCCGTTCCCACCCCCACCCCCAAGACCCTCACCAATCTGGGCTGCGGCCTCCCTGCACGGCAGACTCTGGATGTCACAGAGATGGCCACTCCACCCCGGGGCACAAAGGCAATAGAAGGAGGCCCCAGTCTGGGCGCAGCGACCCCCATTCTGACATGGTGCACGGCTGCACCAGTCTACCAGCGTCTGGGAAAGGGGACCTGAGCGTCATGACTAGGGAAACCCTAGACAGAAGCAAGACCCCTGGCTTCTGTTCCAGGATCTCCATCTGGGCCCTCCCTCCTCAAGGACCCTCAGGACACCTCCCCCAGGGCCTCTGCTGATCCCTTTCCCGGACCCATAGCAGAATCCTCCCCCAGAACAACTTTCCCTGCTTAGATCCAGGCAGGTCCCCTCCCCAGAATCCCAGCAAGCTGCCCACCTGGCACTGGCTGCCAGTGAAGCCCTGGGGACAGGCACAGTGGTAGCCAGGGTAGGCGGTGCTGCAGACACCCCCGTTCAGGCAGGGTCGTGACAGGCAGGGGTCAACCTCGTGTTGGCAGTGGGTGCCTGTGTAGCCGGGACGGCACAGGCAGCTGAAGGAGTTCACCCGGTCTATGCAGGTCCCTCCGTTGAAGCAGGAGCTGCAGGACAGGGGAAGGTCAGGCCTGGCCTCCTCATAAGCCTCGCCCCTCCTGCTAGAACTGAGCTGAGAAGTTTAAATCCCAGGCGTGGCAGGTCCACCCTCCCTCCTTGGCCCCTTTTAAGGGTGGGGACTCCTCTCACTCTCTGACATACCTCCTCCAGAGGCGCTGCCCCTTGTCTTAGCCCAACTTCCCAGGTATTTCAATGCTAAGGTGGGAGTCACATGGAGACCTCACCTTGTCCTGGACCCCAACTCTACAGTAACCTCCCAAAATGTTCAGTTCCTTCCATGGCCCAGCCCCCATCAGGCATCAGATCCCCCAAAACCAAACCCAATGCCATCAAATTGATTCTGACCCACAGCAACCCTATAGGACCAAGCAGAACTACCCTATAGGGTTTGCAAAAGTCTTCATCTTTTTGGAAGCACATCCCCACATCTTTCTCCCACTAAATGACTGGTGGGTTCAAACCGTCAACCTTCCAATCAGCAGCCAAGTGCTCTAAACACTGTGCCACTAAGAATTCTGATTGATATTGTAAAGTACCTTGGAGTCAGTTCTGACTCATAGCAACCCTCTATAGAGTTTCCAAGGAGCAGCTGATGGGTTTAAACCGTGGACCTTGTGGTTCACAGTCCAGTGTTTACCTACAGTGCCACACCACAAGTCCAGATGGAGCCCTCACAAAAAGAGTAGAACCAACATTCCTCCATTCTGCCACCTCTCCTTCCCAGGCCCCACCCCATCTCTGAGCTCCAATAAGAGCCCACCCACCTGGGGCTACAGTCAGGCAGGTCCCGTTCACAGCGAAAGCCTCCATAACCCGGAGGACAGGTGCAGGTAAAGGAAGCCACGTGGTCAGTGCAGGTGCCGGGGCCGCAGGGATTACTCAGACACTCGTCCACATGGCGCGTGCAGCGTGGACCAGTGAAGCCAGGGAGGCAGGAGCAGGAGAAAGAGCTCACGCCATCCTGACACAAACCACCATTGAGACATGGATCTGTAAGTGGAAGAGCAGCAGGTAAGTCACTCGCCTTGTCCCTGTGAGCCCAGCTTCTCCTCAGCCAGGCCTTGCACCAAAGGGGGTTCAGGAGGAGACTAGGCTCCATTGAGAGGGACCACATTTGGTCAGAGGGCTCAAATTCTGTCCACTTCTATGATCTCAGAGACCCTGGGTAGTACAGTTAACACACTTAACTACTAACTGAAAGGCTGGAGGCTCAAGTCCACCCAGAGGCACCTTGGAACACAGACCTGACAATCTACGTCCAGAAAATCAGCCCTGAGAAAAGCCGATGGAGAGTTCCTGGTTGACACAAATGGTTAAGTGAAGGACTGCTAAACAGAAGGTTGGTGATTCAAATCTACCTAGAGGTACTTCCAAAGAAAGGCCAGGCAATCTACTTCGGACAGACCACAGCCTTGAAAATCCTGTGGAGTGCAGTTTAACTCTACACACAGTGAGCGAGCCAGGAGTCGGTGTTTAAAACTCCATGTGTGGCTTGCATCACATGTCTGTGAGACAGCGCTGATATTAGAGAACTCTCTTGGGGCCTGCTAGCTCATACTTTACCCACAGGCTGACGTGCTTGAGGCCAGAGACTTATGAATCAGACAGACCTGTGCTCCAGCTTCAGTTCTTTCCCATAACTTTGTGTGTGACTTTGGGCAAATCATTCAACCTCCCTGGGCCTTAGTGTCAGTCACATAGGACAAGCTTCTGGAACATGTCTGCTAGGTCAGTCAGCACCCCTCAATAGCTCGCCTGTACTCACTGGGGTCGCAGTCATCGATGTCCTGATCACAGGAAGGGCCACTGTATCCTTCATGGCAGGTGCAGCTGAAAGTCCCTGCCAGGTTGGTGCAGGTACCGTGGGGGCCGCAGGGTGAGGGGCCCATACACTCATCCACATCCTGCTGACATCGTGGGCCTGGGGGGAGGGGGAATAAGAAGACACTTAGGTTAGAGGTGCTCGCTAAGGCCTGGGGGTACTGAGGCTTAGCTGGGCATAGACAAGAATCACAAGGCGTGGTGGTATTCACCCTGCAGGTTTTTGCCCATGCTATTCTGGTACTCCCCCTCTCCTGTCTCAGTGAGTGGGAAATGTTCTTCTAAGAAAAAAAGACATTTGCTGTCTCATGGTGCCCCCATGGGCGTCAGAATAGGATTGGGCTCCATGGGGTTTTCAATGGCTGGTTTTTCAGAAGCAGATTGTCAGACCTTTCTTCCAAGGTACCTCTGGGTGAACTTGAACAGTCAACCTTTCAACTATTAGTCGAGCACATTCATTGTACCACCCAATGACTCCATTCTTCCAAGACACTGTCCCCAAACCCTCAGCCAGCATCCTAAATCCCTGCACCCCGGCTGCTCCCCAGCTCTATAGCCCTTCTCTGGAACTGGCTAAATCCATGTCCAGCTCCATTCTCTGCCAAAAGGAAGCCCCCTCAAAGGCAGGGTTGGGTGAGTCCCCTCTGTTCCTAGCATCATGCCACACAAGGCAGGGTACACAGGAGGTGAAGGAAAGGAGGAGGAAGAAGTAACTGGTATACCTTGCCAGCCAGAGGGGCAGGAGCAGACAGCCAGTTGGCCAGGGGTAGACTCACAGCGGCCCCCATTCTCACAGGGGTTTGGAGTGCAGGGGGATGGCAGCTCACACTGGCGGCCTGTGGAGGATAGGCAGACGAAGATGTTCCCATCTCCCTTATGTTACCCACCCCCAAGTTCCTGAAGGGAAAGAGAAAAGGAAGAAAGAAGACAAAGGTCTGGGGGAGAAAGTGGGGATACGTACCCTGAATGCCAGGGGGACAGGTGCAGCGGAAGCCCAATCCATCGCTGGTACAGGTGCCGCCGGCCCTACAGGGCTGGGACTCACATGCATCCTGGGTAAGGCTCTGGTCACACCTGGGGCCGCTCCAGCCAGGTTCACACACGCAGCGAAACCTAACAGAAGGCATTCATGATGTCAGGTAAGCCAGAAAGGTGGTCAAGGGGAATTGGGGGGGGGAGGGGAGATGGGGGCTGGAGAGAGGCCTCACCCGCTGGGTGCATCGTGGCAGATGCCATGACTGCAAGGTTCCTGGGCACAGGGATGGCTGGGAGGGAGGCAGAGTGGGGGCAGGGAGCCTGGAGGACACAAGCAGCGGAAGCCGTTTTCTCTGTCCACACAAGAGCCTCCTTCAGCACAGGGGCTGGAAGCACACTCATTGATTTCCACGTTGCAAAGGGATCCTGTAGGGAGTGGGGAGAGAAGTGGGAATGAGCAACCTTGTCAGCCCAGAACAAGGACACAGAGCCCGGTTCCAGGGCCAACGCCTCCCGTGGAGGTACAGACTTGCCCCACTGAACACAGCCACATCTTTGAGGAAGGGTTGAACTGTTTCCTTCAAAATTCATGTCCACTTGTGTTAGACACTGAGTTGTGTCCCCTGAAATACGTAAATGGAATCCCATTGGGATAGGGGTTTATCATGTGAATGCGACCATATCAGTGTAGAGTAGGTATTAAACCAATCACTTTTGAGATATTACAAAAAAAATCCATCAGGCAAGTACAAACAGGGGAAGGATAAATTTCACAGGGAGATCACCAAGGGACACTAAGGAGAATGCTAACAAAGCTAAGACAAGGATTTTCCCCCATAATGGACTTCTAATCTGTGAAAGAATAAATTTCTGTGCATCAAAGGTACCCACTTGGAATATTTCTATTATAGCAGCAACTAGGAAACTAAAGCAACCTGTGAATGGGGCCTACTTTGGATATAGGATATATATGAGTAAGGGTGAGCCATAAATCCAATGTGAAAGGTGTCCTTAGAAGAGAGAAGTTTGGAGACAGAAATGTAGACAAACAGCAGAGGTCATGTGAAGCAGAGGCAGAGATTGGAGTGATGAAGCTACAATCCAAGGAAAACTGAGGACCACTAGCAATAGTTACAAGCTAGAAGAGACACCTGGCCTCCAGAACTCAGAGCACATTCTGCTGTTTTACAGCCACCTGGTTTGTGATACGTAACATATGGGCCTCGGTCTCATACCTCATTCTCATTCTCTTACAGGCTCTTATTCAAAACCAGAAGAGCCATGTCCCCAAGCCAAAGCAGTCTTGTTCCCAGTCACCCTCAATCACAAACTTCTGCAAAGTCACTTCTGTTTCAACAAAGAATTAAGTTGGTCCCACCCAGATACGCCTGTTGTGCAGTTTGGACACCCTCACAAACAAGGAGGCTCCCAAAAGTTCTTGCGAAATTCCATTATCTTTTCATTCCCCCTCAGATGTTCCAGAATAAGCTTGAGCCAACAGGACAGACAGCCTCATGGCAGCGAGAAAGAGCACAAAAAAATGGACAATCTTGCTGGACACGTATGTGCCAAGACAGGGCCATGACTTCGCCACACAGGTGACTTCACCCTCGCCAATTGCTCACTCACCTGTGAAACCAGGTTGGCAGACACAGTCGTAGCGGTTAATGCCGTCCCGGCAAACGCCGAAGGTGCAGGGGTTGCTAGCACAGTCGTCGATGTTCACCTCACAGTTCACACCTGGGGGAGGGAAACACGGCAGGGATCACCAACCACTGTGGCCCCTCCTGGTACCCCCATTCCCAAATTCTTTATGCCCCTCCCATGTGAGCTGGCGCTGCTCCAGCCCCACCTGTGGTGCCCGGTGGACATCGGCAGAGGTATTTGTCCACCAGGTCTAAGCATTTTCCCCCGTGGCGGCAGGGCTGGCTGCGGCACTCATCCACCTGGCTCTCACAACGCGTGCCGGTGTAGCCCGGGGCGCATGCGCACGAGAAGCTAGCGATACCATCCACACAGCGCCCATGGTGGCAAGGGTCCGGCGAACAGTCATCGATGTTGCGTTCACACAGGGTGCCCTCAAAGCCTATGAAAGGGGCAGGAGGGTCAAGTTCCGTCCAATGCCAGGTCCTGCGCACAGCCATGGCTCAGCCCAATTCTGGCTCTGACCTACCTCAGGGCCCACCCACTGGACCCTCGGGAGACTAGCTCCACTCAGGCCCAACTCCCAGCCCACCAATAATACATCCAGGGCTCAGGGCTCTCCCAGGGCCATGACATTCCCAAATCTGTGACCCCACCTCAAGTTCCTACACAATCAACCCTGTTCCACTCAGGACAACAAGTGGGAGCACATAGGTGGCACCTGGGGGTGGGTGGGTATAGAGGTTTGAACTCACCTCCTCTAGCTAAATGAGCCCTGGACTCTGCAGGGCTCTTTGGCCCTCCCCTAGTCCTGATGTGGCACTGTACGATAAAGCATTGGACCACAAGGTCGGTTTGAACTACAAGGCTAGTAGTTCAAACTTATCAGATGCTCCTTGGAAACCCTATATAGGGTCGCTATGAATCGGAACCCACAAAGCCTTTTCTTGGCCTACGCCCACCATTGGCTCCTCCCCCAATTGGTTATTGGCTCCACCCCAACCTTACCTATGCCTACGTGGATCATTGTCCCCGCCCAAGTCCTGCCTTGCCTCATCTTCTCATTAGCATTGCCAGACCCCCAAAGCGCTCCCCAAGCCTGTTATTGGCCCTCTCCCCACACTAGCCTCGCCTCCAAATTCCCTCCGACCTCTCATTGGCTGGCTGTCGCCCCACCCTCACCCTCTGCGCAGCCGCACTCGTAGCCATCGGGCTGGTCCACGCACTTGGCACCGTTTCTGCAGGGCGTGCTGGCACACTCGTCCACATCCAGCTGGCACGTGGCCCCGCTGAAGCCTGGGCGGGGGGAAGGGGGGCAGTGAGGGGTGGCTCAGGCAGGGTCAAGAGCAGTCAGTCCTCGCCAGCCCTGCTGGTCTGGGCCTGGGTCACCGATTCCCTTGGTTTAAACTAATTTCAAAGTTTTTACCATCCGATCACCTGGTCTAACTTGCCTCTGCCCAGCTCTAGGGCCATCCATTACTAGAACTCACCTGAGGGACAGGTGCAGCTGAAGCCATTGACACGGTCCTTGCAGACACCTCCGTTGACACACGGACTGCTCTGACACTCATCAATATCCACCTCACAAAAGGTGCCAGTGAAACCTGAGGGAAAGGAGGACGAACAGGGTGATGGAGCTTCCCCCTGCTCTGAAGAGGGTGAGGAGGTAAAGTAGTCCCCTTCTTGTCGTCCCTTGACCTCGCCCCGCCCTCAGCCCTAATCCTTGATTCTGGTTTTGCATAGGCTGTATCCTCATTCCACAGTGGTCCCAACTGGTCCAAGACTCCTGAGATTCCAGAAGGTCCTTCAGACCCTCTCTCAATGACAAAGTCTAGGCCATGCCTCCAGGCCTAGTACTAGACTTCAGGCTCTGCCTTGCCTCACTCAGGCAGCACGACCACGGAGACCACTACCACCACGCAAGGCCTAGACCGCAAACTCCCATTCTCAGCCCACGGGAGGCTTCTCCATTGGACACCGCCCCCAGCCACACACAGTTCTGCCCTGGCCCTGCCCCCACGCTCCCTGGCCAACACTAGCCTCTGTTCTGCCTCCACTTGGCCCAGCACCGGGAACCCCCCCACCTGTCTTGCCCACCAAGCACCTGCCATGCAGATGCAAGTGAACTGGCCGATGCGATCGAGGCACGTGGCCTGGTTCCGGCAGGGCCCCGACAGGCACTCGTTGATGTCAGTCTCACAGCGTGGACCTGTGTAGCCGCGACCGCACTGGCATAGGAAGGAACCTTGAGTGTTCACGCACCTGCCCAGGTGCTCACATGGGTTAGCTCCTGGGGGAGAAGGCACAGCGGGTGTGGGTGTGGCCAGCCCAGGCCCCTCCCCTCTGACCCATTCCCAGACAGCCCCTCACCGATGGAGCACTCATCCACATCCTGGTCACATGCTCCTCCGGTGAAGCCCGGCGGACAGGTGCAGATGGCCCGGCCGTTCACCGGGTTGGTATCACATATAGCATCTTCATGACAGGGGTTACTGACACAAGCATCGTCCAGGTGGCACAAAAGACCTGGGAAGAGGGCAGGCAGGGGTCAGTGGTGGACCCTCCAAATCTACCTAATGGTCTCAAATTTTGTTTTGTTTTCATTTTTTTGCTTTTATCTACAGTAATTTAGTAGTTAAGGAACCCTGGCAGGGCAGGGTAGTGGATTACACAAACTGGGTTGCTAACTGCAAAGTCGGTAGTTTGAATCTACCAGATGAGGCTTTCTGCCCCTAAAGCACAGGGTTGCCATTAATCAGAACCGACTCCACAACACACAGCCACCACCACCACCAAATTTAGTAGTTGTTTTTTTGTTTTGTTGTTTTACTTTTTTCCATTATTTATTGAATTTTTCAAATAAACCCACCACTCCAATTCCATGATGGTTAGCTCTAGTGGTCTAATCTGATCTAGCACCTATCTACTACCTTTTCACTATCTACCTATCATTTACCCAGCGATCAAACTTCCTTTTTTAACCATATGAAAATCAATTGCAAATATCTACTTACTGTTTTTTAAGTCTACGGAGGCTTTTTCTTATTCAAAAAGGGGTCTACCATCATGTCTCTGCTTCTGTTGGACCTTCTGCCTGCTATACCCTTTCCTCCATCTCAAAAAGTCCCATTTCCCAAATACCTTCTCTGACCCTGGGTCTTTTGAAAGGTTCCCCCATTCACTAAAAGATACACTTTGCACCCTCAACTGTTTCTATTAGCTGCCGTCCAGCGGCCCTGACCCATGGCAGCCCCATACCCAATGGAACCAAACACTGCCCAGTCCTGTGCCATCCCCATGACTGGTTGTGGTTGGACCATCATCACCCATAAGGTTTTCATGGACTGCTTTTCAGCTGTAGGTCACCAGGCATTTCTTCCTGGGTTATCTTAGTCTGGAAGCTCTTCTGAAATCTGTTCAACATAAAAGCCTCCTCAGAAGGGTTGTCAGTGGTGACTGTGTGTGAGATGTGTTGGCTGGAATATAACCTGGATCTCCCATATGTACGGGAAGCATTCTACCACAGAACCACCGTTAGCCTCTGCTCTCTCAGTTACCTCCCAATAGTGTTCCAGTCCCATGGCTCCAGCCTCCTCCCTGTGGGATCCTCCCCACCCCCAAATCCAGCCTGCAGCATCATCTTTCTAACATTCAAATCAGACTCCATCCTTGAACCACTCAAGAACCACTGAAGGCTCCCTGCTCCCCACAGGGAAGACAGTCACTCACCAGTCTTGCCCATGGGGCAGGCGCAGTAGAAGGAAGCCACTCGATCGTGGCAGGTCGCCCCGTGGAAGCACACGGCTGTGGCGCAGTCATCGATGTTCTGGCTGCAGCTCTCACCGGTCCACCCGTTGACGCACACACAGCTGTGGCCACCCATTGTGTTGAAGCAGGTGCCTCCGTTGTGGCAGGCGTTGGGCTGCAGCTGACACTCATCCACGTCCTCTGTGCAGAACTGGCCTATGGCGTACAGACATCCCAGTCCAGCCACCTGGTGCATGCCCACCCAGGGTCCACCACCAGGCTCCCTTTGCCTCGGAGCCCACCTGTCCACTCGGGGGGGCACTGGCAGTTGTAGGTATTCACACCATCCACACACGTCCCCCCGTTTAGGCACCGGTGTCCTGGACAGTCATCCACATTCACTTCACAGTTTTGGCCCTCGAACCCTGGCATGGAGGGAGGGACAGGATTATGGATTGAATTGTGTCCCCCAAATAGATACATGTTTCAAGATCAAACCCTTAAATCTGTGGATATGACCCCATTTGGGAATACAGTTCTCTCTGTCATGCTCATGAGAACCTATCAGTATGGTAGTGGTGGTTACGTGCCATGGAGTCGGTTCGGACCCATAGTGACCCTGTATAGGGTTTCTGAGGCTGTAAATCTTTACGGGTGCCAAAAGCCTCATCTTTCTCCCGCAGAACAGCTGGTAGTTTCGAACTGCTGAAGATGAGGTTCACAGCCCAATTCATAACCACTACGCTATCAGTACAGGGTATGTCTTAAAGCCAATCGCTTTTGAGATATAAAAGGAGCAGTTGGGGTTCAGAAGCAAGGAAGCACAGAAGAGGAAAGAAAGACGTCACGTGGAAATCTCTATGGAGCCAAGGAAGAGAAGCTGGAAGAGACTAGGATTTTGTTCAAGAGCACAGAGCTTTCCCCTAGAGCCCGTGTCTAGAGTTCTGACTTTTAGCTTCCTGAACTGTGAGAAAATAGAGTTCTGTCCAGTAAAGCCACCCATTTGTGGTATTTTTGATAATAAGGACTGGGAAACTAAGATAGGCAGAGCTGGGTTGGTCCCCTCCCATAGGAGCCCCTGGGCACGGCTCACTCACCAGGGAGGCAGGCACAGTCGTAGGCATGCTCACTGCTCTGACGGCAGGTGCCCCCATTCCGGCATGGCGAGGGGGCACAGGGCACAGCAGGGCTCTCACACAGTGGCCCTGTGTAGCCAGCCGGGCACTGGCATCGGAAGGAGCCAGGTGTGTTGAGGCAGGTAGCCCCATGGTGGCAGGGCTCACCCACCCGGCACTCATCCACATCACTGCGACAGCTGCGACCCTGGTAGCCCGCAGGGCAGGCACAGACGTAGCGTCCATCGGGCCCCACAGAGCAGCGGGCACCGTGAGCACAGGGGCTGCTAATGCAGGGGTCCGGCAGGGAGCAGTCAGGGCCTGCAGGGAGCAGGGAACGGTGAGCTTGAGACTGACCACATCCTTGCCTGCCTAAGTCTCCCTTCTAGACACCCGCCCTCTCACCTTGGAAACCATGAGGGCAGCGGCAGGAGAAGCGGGCAGTACCCGCCACGAATGAACTCTGGCACACTCCTCGGCCAGCACAGGGGCCTGAGTGGCAGGGGTCTTCCCACTGGCACCGCTCACCCAACCAGCCTGGTGGACACCTGTGGGCAGAGACAGGTCAGCTGGGGCAGGGCAGAACACAGCGATACACACAAGACACAAGACAGGCAACAAATAAGCAAATAAGCACATATGTTCATTCACATAACCAGTACCCTCTGGAGCTCCTAACCTGACACCTGCTGCCTCAAATTAATTGACTCATAGCGCCCCCATGTGTATCAGAGTTGAACTATATTCCGTCAAGCTGCCAGTGGATGCAGCTAATGGAAATAGATCCACTTGATGAATTCAAAGCCACTAATATTTCTGTTCATAGCCAAGTGGAAATTTTTGCCACCCAGTGGCCTTACTCCAGGTGTGGACTGAATTCAAACTACAAGGAAGGCAGTTGAAATCCACCAGCTGCTCCTCAGAAACCCTGTACAGGATCACTATGAGTCGAGTCGGAACCGACTCGATAGCACTTAACAATGGTGGCCTTACTAGCGACTCACTAGGCATCCAGCTGCAAACAAAGTAAGAGTGGTCCCTAGCCTGGGTGGTGAAAATAGTTAAGTATTCAAGGTTGGCCATTCAAACCCACCCATAGGTGGCCTCAGAAGACAAGTCTGGCAATCTGCTTTTGAACGGTCAAAGCCATGAAAACCCTACAGAGCTGTCCTACTGTGCACACATGGAGTCATGTAAGTCAGAGTCAACTCGATGTAACTAACAACAGTTCCCCTTGGTGCTCACAGCCAGACCTGACAAAGAGAACATATACAATAATGAACTCATATTTAACATGTCAACAGACAGAAGAGAGGACCAGGAAGGGTGAATGGGGTGAATGTTGGCCCCCAGAAAAGATATGTCCACATGTGGAATCTGTGAGTATGACCTTGTTTGGAAACAGTCTTTGCAGATGCTAAATTAAGGATCTCAAGATGAGATCATCCTGGATTATCCGGGTGGGACCTAAACCCAATAACCAGTATCCTCATAAAAAGCGATGAGGAGACACACAGGGAAGAGGACCACGTGACAACAAAGACAGAGATTGGAGCGATGTAGCCACAAGCCCAGGATCGCCTGGAGCCGCCAGAAGCTGGGAGAGGCAAGAAGGATCCTACCCCAGACACCTTTAATTTTGGACTTCTGGCCTCCAGAACTGTGAGAGACTTCATTTCTGTTATTTTAAACCAAGAGTGTGGTCATTTATCACACACAGCAGTCCCAGAAACTCATAAAAAGGGTAAAGGTAAGGGAGATAGAGTGATCAAGTGGGGCTACTTTATTAAGTGGGGTCATGAAAGACCTCTCTGAGAACGGAACTTAAATTTAAACCCAGACTGAAGGCAAGAGAGAGAGCTAAGGGAGTACGCAGGGAACATTGTTGCAGGCAAAGGGAAGAGCATATACAAAGTGTCAGAACCCAGGAGACAAATGCATAGCCACTCACAGATACAAAGGTGGTGGACAACTAACCCACAAGGTAACTCACATGGACAACCAACACATGTTTCTGTTAGGTGACATGGAGTCAAGATTTTCAAGTCACACCACCATATGACAGAGTAGAACTGCCCCATAGTGTTTCATAGGCTGCAATCTTGGAGTCCTGGTATGACGCATGGGACTGCAAGGTCAACTTGAACGGAAAGGTGGCAGGCTCAAGCTCCCCAGCTCTTCCCTGGACACACTATACAGCGTCGCTATGAGTCATAATCAACTCCACAGCACTTAACAACAATCTTCACTGGAGGAGATCATCAGGTCTCTATCTGGTAGAGCTGCTGGTTGGACAGGCTCCAACTACCAATCTTTAGGTTAGCAACTAAGCTATTAACCATTGCACTACCAGTTTTCCTTAGATGGACACCACTGGTCAAAAAAAAACATTGCCAAATAAATTCTGACTCATAGAGACTGTAGGACAGAGTAGAACTACCTGGAGAGTTTCCAAGAGAGTCCTGGTGTGGCCTGTGGGTTAATGCGCCCGACTGCAAAGTCGGTTTAAACCACAAGGTCAGCGGTTCAAGCTCACCACTCGCTCCTAGGAAATCCTATATATACATGGTCGCTATGGGTCCGAACCAACTCCATGGTACGACAACGAATAGTCACGAAGCAGGCTGCCACACCTTTCTCCCACGTGCCTCATCTCTCTCCCGCAGAGCGGGCTGATGGCATTTTAAATGCTGACCTTTCAATTAGCAGTCCAGCAGAGCTCTTTACTGGACGAACACCTGAGCCCCCACAGATAATACACACCTTTAGCCAGACACAAACAACCCTTCCTCCATTTGCTGGAGGAAGGGCGCTGAGGCATCAATGTCGGGATTCCTCTCAAGTTGGGGTTTATCGACACGCAGCCCTTTCTGGATAGCACTAGGGAAACTAAATATTGGAAATTTGAGAACTATGAGGGGGCGTCAGATGCTGGGACCAGAAGACGCAGGAGGGTCCAAGCCCCACCTCTCAACGCTGCTCCCTCTCCTTCACTCGGTCCAGAGAATATATTGCGCGTTCTCCCTCCCCCTTCATAGTCCCAGACGCCTGGGGCTGAGCTCAAACAAGTAGCTGACTCAGTACGCGTCATCCACAAAATCCCCCAACCCCGGCCCCTAGCGGGACAGGTCGAGGCATGGCTGGGCTGGGGAGTGTGCAGGGGACGCTTGGAGGAAGGGAGGCCCAGCTTCCAGCCCCTTAGCCTAAGGCCCACGGGGCGACGCGGTCGTCACTACTGCGGGCCTAGAGGGGGCGCGCTGCGTCCGGGCGCCGCACACCCGCAATTCCACCACCAGCGGGGCGCGGCTCGTCCGCCGGCCCGCCCTCTCCCGACGCCGCGGGCGGGTTCCCACGCTCCGCCGTCCTGCGCCCCAGCCGACCGGTCAGGCCGGTTCCAGCCCCCGCCTGAGCCCCGCCCCACGGCCTGGGCTTTGGGGGAGATGTGAAGGGGTACGCGGACTCGGGAGTTGGGAGGGGGGCATCGGAAGGCGAGAGGTTGGGGATTGGGACAAGAGCAAGGGAGCCTCCGGTGGTGGAAGCCTTGGAAGTTACATGGGAGGGCAATTTGAAGTATTCCCTAGAGGGAACGCGTATTTTGGACCTGGAAGGGTCTTTGGGGGGTCCCGCGGGGAGTGCTTCCCACGGATAGACTAGGGGAAATGAGCCCACTCCGCTCCATGAGATCCGGGTTCCGGGCGGCCGCGCGCGCCGGTGATTCACCTGTTTGGGGGGGAGGAGGCGGGACAGCCGCGGGCGTATTCACCTGTCGGCTTTATTCCAGGCTCAGAGTCTCACTACGCAGGCGCCCAGCCATGACTCCACCTCCCAGGTGTGTGACTCCAGGTAAAATCACCTTACCTTACTCCACCACCACCTACCCAGGTACCCCCAGATGGGGCTCCAGTCAAAATAAGTGCCTGTGTAACTTCAAAGTGCCTCCCCTAGGAATACAGTCACCCCAGATCACCCATTCTGGGCCTAACCCAGTGCCTGGCACACTTAGTTGTATAAGTGAATATATAATCAATTCATGGCTGCTGGGTGAACGGATACTAATAAGATTATAAATAGCACCAAGTCTTTCCTGTAACCAGAAGAGAAGTTCCAGCTATAGTACCTATTTCCTGTGCTTCTCTCATTATTTATGTTGTTGAGTGCCTTCGAGTCGGTTCCGACTCATATAGACTAGTGCTTGTCTTACAATGCCACACCAGAATCATTTATAATTGCTTTTGTTGGTAAGTGCCATGGAGTCGGTTCCGACTCATAGCGATCCTGCATAGGATTTCCGAAGAACCGCTAGTTCAAAGAAGAACCTTGCGGTCCAAACTGACCTTGCAGTCCAGCGCAACCCACAGAGCCACAGCAGGACTCCAACCTTTATAATAACACCTATTTATTAAGCATTTACTCTATGCAGAGCACTATGCTGGTCTCTGTTTATCTTTACAACCAACTTTTCAAAGGAGGATTGTTAAGTGCCGTCGAGTCGGTTCCGACCCATAGCGACCCTGTAACAGGGTTTCCGAGCCTGTAAATCTTGACGGGAGCAGAAAGCCTCATCTTTCTCCATCAGAACAGCTGGTAGTTTCGAACTGCTGACCTTGAGGTTCGCAGCCCGATTCATAAGCACTACGCTACCAGAGCTCAAAGGAGGATGGATATATCGTAGCTATTGTTGCGGTTTGTCATGGAGTTGATTCCAATTCATAGAACCAAGTAGAACTGCCCCATTGGTTTCCTTAGGCTGGTGTGGCGTTGTAGGTTAATGCGCTGGAGTACAAGGTCAATCTGAATATCAAGGCGGGTCGTTCAAGCTTACCAGCCTCTCTTTGGAAACCCTATACAGGGACACTATGAGTCGGAACTGACTTGAAGGCACTAAACAACAACCACCTTTACCACAGCATATGGCCAGATCTTTTCTCCCTCAGAGTGGGTTCAGTAGGGTTCCTTGAGGAGCTATTACTACCCCAATTTTCCAGATGCACAAAGAGGCTCAGAAAACTCAAAGCACTTGCCCAAGGTGTCCCAGAGCCCAGAATTCAAATTCAGCTCATCTATCTCTATACAGCGCTTTATCAGGCCCCTGTCTACTATCCCCAACCCTTTGCCTTTTTTTTGTATTATCCAACAACTGAATTCTAGAGCCACTTCATAGTCCACAGTCAGAAAGAACATATCTATCTCACAGGTGCAGAGAAGTTCAGACAGGGGAAATAACTAGCCTAAGACCACACAGTGCAGCAGAGCCACCAATTCTAGAGAAATGGGAGTGTGCCAGTCCTAACATTGCTTCCTAAAGATTTATTGATTGAATAATAACCCCTACATCAGAGACTTTACATGTGACTCTGTGAAGCTGAGATCACCAGACAAACCAGTTGCTCTTGAGCTGACCCCAACTCATGCCAATCCTAGTGGAACTGGCAATGTAAGGTTTTCAATGGCTGGTTTTTCCGAAGTTTTTCAGAACACCAGGCCTCTCTTTTGAGGCACCTTTGTTAGCAGTTGAGTATTAACCATTTGCACTATCTAGGGATTCCTGGAGTTGAATTAAACCAAAAAACAGTGCTTCAAGTTGAATACGACTCATGGCAACCCTGTGTGCTACAGAATAGAATGGGGCACCAGCGTTCTCTTGGCTGTAATCTTTACAGACAGGCCTTTCTCCCAAGGCATCTCTGGGCCAGACTCAAACTTATAACCTTTCAGTCAAGCATTTCATTTGCATCATCCAGGGACTTTACGGGTCCATTTTCCAGACACAGATACTGAGGCTTAAAGCATGTACATCTCAGATAATCAGTAACATGATATGGGATTTAAACCCAGGCTGGGCAAACTCCAGAGCCTTAACCCTGCTCTATTCCCCCAGGGGGAAATGAGATTTCATCCCTGTTGCCCAAGACCACCAGTATCTGCAGAAGACAAATCGCTGGGCCTTAGCCCACTGAAGACTCCGAGACTCACAGACAGACAGCCATCCGCGTGGGCAGCTGGATGCAGCGACCTCCATTTACACACAGGCTCTCATCCAGGCAAGAGGAGGCTGTGGAGGGTGGTAAAAGTGGGGGGTGGGGAGGGAGGGGGTCAGCCCAGCATCCAGGAACTCCAGGCTAGAGTGGCAGACCTCCTTCCTCCCTCCCCCAGACAACAGCTGCGCTAGGCTGGGGGTGTCTCCAATGGTGCAGGGAGCCCCCTACCCACAGTTCCCACGCCCCCCCCCATGCCCCAGCCCCAGCTGTTTGAGCTGCAGCTGTCCCTGCCAGCTCTAGCCCTGGGAATCCACAAAGCAGGGGTGGGTAGGAGGTGGGGCTGCCTATGCCAGATGTGGGGGCTCAGGGAGCTGCCAGAGCTGAGATGTGCCCTGGGATGGGGATACCAGGTCAGGATGTGCTAGCTGGAGGGCTGGAGTTGTGGGCCTGGGTCTTGGGGTCATGAAGGGGGCCCATGATGCTGGGCATCAGTTCCAGCAGGGTATGTACCCAGAAGGGAGTAAGGGCTCTAACGCCCCATAGGCAGCCCAGCCACTGCCAAGGCAGCCAAGCACTGGACCCTGCTGGGGTGGAACATGTGTGGAGGGAGGGGCAGCTGGCATTAGATGTGCACTGCTCTGTCCAGCGTCCTCATCCCTGAGGGCTGTGGCATAATCTAACTGTCCGAAGAAGAATGGGTCCAGGGTGGGGCTGGGTGTGAAGGAACGAATAGAGAACTGCGAACATGGGTATGTGTGTGTACATATGCAAGCATGCAAGTATGACTGCCTGTGTGTCCATGTGTGTGAATGCATGTATCTGTATACACGTGTGTGTGCGAACATGCATGGTGCATGTTTTTGTACAAAAGGAGGAAAAGGGATGTAATAAAAAACAGAGGCAGGAACATAAAAGAAACTAGAAGCTGCCACAGAGACAGAGAGTTGGGCTGGACATGAAAAGGAGATGCGCATGACATCCAGATGGGACCTGTGGGTGTTTGTGGACCCACCCTGCAACTCAAGTGCCAGGATCCATGGGCTGCAGACCTGAGGGGGGGGGGGCACCAGTGTGTGACCTGTGTTCTGGACTTGGGTGTGCATGTTGTGCCCATGTGCATGTCTGTGTGTGAACATCTGTGCACTCAGGTCTGGCCTTACACATGTGTACTGCATGCCTGCAGGCTGGGCCTGGTGTGTGCCTCTGCGTGTGAACTGTGGAGTCAGGTGTGCTGCTATGTCTGCATGTGAACTATGAATGTACATGTGTGTCTGGTATGGGTAGCATGTGCTGAAGTACACATGTGAGACATATGTGGGCATGCTCTTGCACTCATGTCCCTGTGTGTCTGAATGTGTGAGGCCTAGGTACATATGTGCTTGTGTGTGCACATGTCAGTGTATCACTGGGGTCTGGGTGTGTCCTCATGTGGGCCAGGTGTGTGCACATTTGCATTGTGTGTGTGTGTGAGAGAGAGACCAGGGCCTCATGTGCCTGCAAGCGTGTGACAAGCCATGTGTGTGCCTCAGTCCGCGGGGGCCTCCACTAGAGAGACCGGACCTCATGTGCCTGCAAGTGTGTGACAAGCCATGTGTGTGCCTCAGTCCGCGGGGGCGGTCACTCCTGCCCAGTCCTGCCTTGGTCGAGGGCCTAGGGGCTCCAGGGCTGGGCTGGAAGGCTGTTCCCAACCCCACCCCACTGCAGCCAGCGCCAAGCCCCCGGGGACCCAAGGCCCGGGTCGGCCCGCGCCCCTCCTCCACCGGCCGGCCTCCTGTTGGGGGCGCCCCCTCAGCCCCCACTCGACTCCAAAGCCCGGCCCGCTTTGTCTGGCAAAGAAAGCGCGAGGCCGGCCAAGGGGAGGGGGTGTCTAGACGGCGCGGCCATTGTCCCGGTTGGGGGAGGAGAGGGCGAGCAGGGGGAGGGGTTGGGGGCCCCGGACGGGGGAGGGGGCTCTGGAGTCCGAAGGGAGCACGTGGGCCAGCGCCCCCTCCCATCCCGGCGCGGGAGGCGGGTCTCAGGACCACTGGGTCGCAGAAGCTGGGGGAGGGCTAGGCGGGGGCAGGGGCGCGGACGACTCCGGCTCCGCTCCGGGTCTTGGCGCGAGCCGGCCTGGGAAGTTTTCTCAGAGTTCAGCGCTCTCAGAACTTCGCGCCCCCTCGCCGCCTCCCGCCCCGCTGGCCCTCCTGGGATGGGGGAGACTTTGTGCAGGGTGGGGGCACCACTAGTCAGAGACACCCCTGTCCTGGGGGCCTGGAGGCCCCGATCGTGACCTATCTAGAACTCCGGGCGAGGTGGGATGGAGTGAACCCGAACTCTCAGACCCCTTCTCGATTCGATTCCCGGATCCCCAAATCTACAGCCCGCAGTACCAAACTCCTAGGTTCTTTCATCCTCAACCCGATGGCTGCAGAGCCCTAGTTCCTTGTACCCCTGGGGCTGACCCCCACCCCTCATTCTACGCCCCCCAGGACTGCCACGCGGCTCCCGGTTCCTGCGTCTTGGCCCCGACTTGGAGCCGCTGGTTCCCTGGCCCCCAGCCCCAAGTTCTCGGTCCTTGCATGGCCCGGACCCCGCCCGCCAGGTCCCGACCCCTCACCTGCAACCCCCGGCCCTGCGAGCAACAGCAGCAGAGGCAGCGCCCGCACGGGCGGCGGCGGCGACATCGGGCGGCGGCGGCCCCGGGCCTCTGGCCCCATGGCGGCCGGCCGCGACCCTCCCTCCTCCCTCCTTCCCAGCGCTCCGGGTGCGTCCCGGGCCAGCCTCCGCGCCGCCAACTTCGCCCAAGTGAGGCCGCCGGACGCCCCGCCCCCAGCCCTCGGCGCTGGCCCCGCCCCGCGGTCAACCCAATCCGCCCCGCCCCGCCCTGCCCCCTGGGTCCCCGCCAGTCCCCCCTCCCCCACGCACTCTCCCCGCTAGCGTAGGGGATCCGCGGATCAGCGGAACTCCTCCACCCAGACGGGCCACGTGGGAGAGCAGACCCCGGGGCTCATGAACACCTCCACCCACCACCCAGAGCCAGGTACACGCCCAGAGCAGAACACACACGAACAGACCCCTGAAACCCGAAACTGAGGCCGGTCACGCCCTGAGGGGCTTGTGGACACACAGCCACACACACACACAAATGCAGACCCCCGCAAGAAGTTTCGTGGGAACTCTGAAATCCGAAGTGTTTACAAACCCCCAAATCTCAGCCCAACAAGCTCTCTCTTTAAGCAACTCCAGGGGCCTCCTCACTATTCTGTGTAAACTTCCCAGGTCCATCCC